GACCAATACCCGGTGCACACCTCTTGTCCCATCCATGCGTGCTACATGTCCCACCAATCTCATTCTTCTCGACTTAATCACCCTGACAATATTGGGGGAGGAGTACAGATTTTTATGTTCGTCATTATACAGTTTCCTCCACGCCCCATCGTCTTCTCTCCTAGGCCCAAATATCCACCTCAACACCCAATTCTCAAACATCTGCAACCTGTGTTCCTCCCTCAGAGTGAGAGACCATGTTTCGCACCCATACAAAACAACAGGCAAGATTACTGTTTTGTATACTTTAATCTTCAGGTTCTTAGAAATCAGACGGGAAGACAAAATATTTTGAATTGAGAAGTAGCAAGCATTTCCAGAATTTAGTCTCCTCCTAACTTCCTCATGAGTGTCATTTTCATTTGTGAAGAATGTGTATAAAGTAACTAAATCGTGTTCTTATGGTTTGCAGGCTTCCTCAGGGACAGATTCCCGCTGCCTCGAACCGCTGTTAAGAGGGATACAGGACCACGATATATATATAGAGGTAAGAACCCCAATTTATAGTTTAGAAGAGTGAAATGTAAAATTCGCGTCAGATCACTTTTACGACAGGAACTCCGGAGCTGAGATGTAAAAAAGTGGAAACTTAAACCCTCCAAGACGTTTTCCGAAGCACTGGCGCGCGTTCTCTCTTACATTCTACTGCCTGTTAACAGAAATTATGAACGGGATACAAAATGTAGATCTGTTTCGTGCATTAGTTTGCCTTGTACTCACAGATCGCATCGGTACGATACATAACCTCAAAAATCCATACTTTTCCCATCTTTGGTACCTTTAACATGCAACACTGCATTAATTAAAACGTAAATATGTTTTTCTTACTTATGATATCTCTGTAGGGAGCTTCACTGAACGAACCATCAGCCAGCACAGTCGAACAGACACATTTCGACAGATCGCTGTTATGTTGCATTGTGCGGATAATTACCTTCATAAAAGTTGACCGTTCTTCGAAGCCCTGCAAGAGCTCAAAATGCCTGTGGTGTCGCTTAAGCGGAGCGGCCGTAGTATCGTGCCTTCGTTGCCGTGGCGAGCTGAATGATTATTTAAGGGGATCACTCAGTCAGTTTTTAAAAACCGGGTTCAAAACCCGTTATTTTTTGGATAAATTTGTAAAATTCGAAAACCAGTTTTTAAAATTTAAAAAACCGGTTTTTGATACTATAATTAATATGTAAAAATTTCTGTTATATGAACTAAAAAATTTAAAGACTGAAATTAGTTACAAATTATTAAATGCTTTAGGAGTACGAATTCAAGAAAGAAGACAAGTTGGATTGGTAACCCTTTTGCTATATTTGCAAAATCCACAAAACATTTCAACAAAGAAATCTAGTGAATTTCCACTAGAATCGAAACTCGATATTATTAAGTTATCTGGAAAAATATTGTCTTGAATATATCCAAATTCTTGTATGAAAACAGATTCCGATGATGAATATATCTGAGACGGAGAAACTATTAATCAGGGCAATGCTCTAAAAGGAGCCATGGAAAAATCAGTTCATAGGTTT